AAATGAACGAGCATATCTTGAATGCCACAAAGGAACTTTTTGGATTGATTAAGCGAGAGTAGGGATGGCAATCAAACCCATGCCCACGGGTATCCGACCGCCCCCGACCCAGTCAACGCGGGGAATCCCCGCTTTGACTGGGTATGGGGCGGGTATGGGTAAAACCCGCAAAATGTTTGATGGGTACGGGGCGGGTATGGTTTTAGCCTCCTCCGCCCCATACCCATACCCATACCCGCCCCACCAAGAATATTTGTTCACATATAAAAAGTACATGGATGAAATAGTAATCTATCAATGATAGTGAGGGTAAATAAAAAAAAAAATAGTAGAAATGCAATTAAGTGCTCACCCAAATCAAAACCTAATTCATTTTCCTTAACTCTCTCTTCACTCTTTCACTTTTCCCTCGTGTTGGCAAGATTATATTAGTTCATTATTGCTTAGTATATGTATTAGAGTCAGATAAATAATGATTTGGATTACATTGTAGTACTCTATTTTATGGATTAAGGGAAATTTTAGGATAAAATTCTTTGAACCATATTAAGAATCATTGTCACTTTCTCGACTTCATGATATAATAGGTGCCTTTAATGTTAAAATTGAAGATTTACATGTAAAATTTTATGTAATATAATGTTGGATGTACGGGGCGGGTATTACCCATGGGTACCCGAAACCCACGGGTATGGGGATGGGTTTGCAAAATCTTCCCCCGCATGGGTATGGGGCGGGTATGGGTTTGGATATTTGAAAGCGGGGATGGGGATGGTTTAGGCAAACCCGCCCCAAACCCGCCCCATTGCCATCCCTAAGCGAGAGCAATGTCCGCAACTACACTTAATAAAAAAAAAGAAGAATAGGAAAAACAATAAAGCAACAAATTCAAAATGATACTAGACTAGCGCGACTACACTTAGTCCGCCTGAACACCATCAGTGTTAGGCTGAACATCCTCTGTGTTAGTCTGCGCCGCATCAGCCTTCTCGCCATCCCCGCTCGCGCCCTCAACTTCCTCTCCATCCGAGCGTTCCCCCTCTTCCTCATCCTCATCCTCATCCCCCGACTCCGAGTCAGACTCCAAGGACCGCTTCTCGCCAATCCACACTTTGACGTGCTGGACCATTTCGCGAGTATTCCAGCGGACTCCCGGGTTCTCTGGTCACACCTTCTTGCCGACCGCGATCACGGTCTTGGTAATGGCATCCGCCAAAATCTTCCCGAAAGAGGGGGAAGACTTGAACTGACGAACGGCCACACCCTCGGCTGCGCGCACAGCTTCTGCCTTCGCGACACTATGAAGGCGGACCAGGTCATCCTTCTCCTTTTGGAGTTCTTCGCGAGCCTACTTCAGCCTCTCCGCGTAATCAGCCTCCAATTGCTCCCGGATGGCGGAGCGCTCCTCGATCCGCACCTGCTCCTTAGCCGCCTCCACGTCAGCACCCAACCTGCTCTGCAGGACGCCGAGCTCCTCCATAGCCTCGTTGGCTTTATTCTTCGCCACGTCAGCACGATTATGCGCTCCATCAAGCTTCCCTTCCAGCTGAACAATCCTTGATTCCTCCGCCTTCATCTTCGCGCGCTGCGAGGCTCGCTCTTGTTGGGCTCGGAAGGTCGCCAACAAACCCTACAATCACAACGCTAAAAGACTTAGCAAAACATTGAAGACAAATAATGAAGGCCTGCGAGGACTCAACCTAATCTTACCGCGAAATGGACCTGAGCTAGGTCCTGAAGGGGGTCCGACTTCTCTTGTCGCGTCGGGACACTCAGGACAGGCCCGAGCGCCCGAACTGCGGCATTCGCGGCGGCGCAATTGCAAGCCGCACTAGTGTGAATCCGCACATCACGGAAGTAGTTGATGGCAGTGGCGGCAGTAGTGGCGGCAGTACCTCCGAAGCCAGCCATTTCGGGCAGTTTTTGCTGGATGGTAGCCCCCGATGAGCTGGCAATCGCTATCCTCTCAGGCCGGAAAGACCTATTCACCTGCGCCTGTGGCTCTGAAATCGCCAGAGACAGCTGTTGCGTCGCGGGTACTGGTTGTTCCGCTTGCACAGGCTGCGCCGCTTGCGCAGGTTGCTCAGCCAATCGAGCCGCCTTACGGGGCTTCTCAACAGCCAATGGCTGTTCGATCTCCTTCCGCTTCGCATTCTTCGACGGCGCGCCCCCCTTCTTCTTCTTTCTCTCGGCGCGCGGCGCCTTCACGACGTCGTCAACCGACATCATGCTTACCAAGCTGGAGAAGTCAACACCTGTGCCAATAAATCGTAAGAAGGCGGTTAATATGATAGAATGCAAAAGAAAAGAGACACAACTAACCATCGGCAAAAAGCTCCTCCAAACAAGCCTTGCGGACTCCCCCCGCGTATAAATTGAACTTGTGCGACATGCACGCCTCGTACTCATCGTCGAGCCCGACGTAATTGCCTGGGTCCGACTCATATCCAAGCGTGCTGCCTTTTTTCCAGACAGTTGGCTCCTCCACAAAATCACTCGCCCACTCCCCGGGAGTTGTCTTGACATAGAAGAAGCGCTCGAACCAAGTTTTCTTTAACTTGGGCGATCCATACACGAAGCCGTCGGGTCTCTTGTCGCGACGCTTGATGGAAAGGCAGTCGCTTCTCCTTGTCGGCTCCTTGATTTTGTATATCTTACGGAACAAGACGTACGACGGCTCAATGTTAAGCCTTTTGCACGCGAGGCGGAGACAACTCGCGTGCATGACTACTGAAGGGGAGAGCCGCCCAACGGAGCAGTTGAGGCGCCTGTACAAAGCACATAACAGTGGGTCGATGGAGAACTTGAACCCCATCACCCAATACTCCGTGTAGACGCCAAGCCACCCTGGGGGGCAATTGCCCATCATGCTTCGCATAGAAGGAGCAGCGTACTCCCAATGGGGGGCAAGCCCAACCCGCGGACTATATCCGCCACGTCCTCGCGATCGTAGATGGACGCGTGGTCGGGCCTGCGCATAAGATTGTCGTGCGGCGCCGGCCGATCGCCCCACATCTCCGCCCAGTCTAAGACGGTATATGCAGCGCCGACCCCGCGCAGCCCTAGGCGGCTCATTGCCTCCGACGCGCGCGCAACACAATGCGGCCCTGATTGCGTATCAGACTCATTGCGCGTCTCGGTGTTGGCGACCCCAAACCCCCCAGCATGACCACGGCAAATTATCAGCACTCCACGAGCGCTCGGGCCTGCCTGTCCACTCCCAGACGCAACCATACCCGCGTCGGAGGAACCGTCAAAATCATTCTCTGAACCGGCGTCGAACGACGGCGTCGCCGGAACACCCTCGTTATCAGCCCCGCCGCCGCCGCCGTGGCCAGAATCGTCCAATTCCAGCGAGGGATCGGTAGAAGTGTGCAAAAGAGGGGAGAGATTACCTTCTTCGCCTTGCACGACCTCGGTCTCGTTGACGTTGATGCTAGCCATGGTAATACTTCGAGTTTTAGCAGCAGCAAAATGAGAATTGAGGTTGTAGAAGAAGGAGAGGAATCTCGGATAAGGGACGAGTGAAGAAACAGGAAGCAGAGTCCAAAGAAAACAGATGAGACCAATTCCCCGATAGCAAACCGATATTTATAGTCGACAAAAGGAAAACGAAGGGTTAAAGTCACATCGGGAATCGTAACCGTCAGATCCTATCAAGCCTTTTCGAATTTAAAAAATCTCCGCCCAAGTAGTCCAATCATACAAGGACACGTGGACACCTACCAGGACTCCTACTAGGCATAGGCCCTAGCCGATGACGCCACAAGTGCCGCGCACCGCCTGGGGGGCATGGCACACCCGCGAAGAAGAAAAAACACACCACGAGCCCAACTTCAATCACGAGCATCACTCACAAAGAGACCAGAAAATCCCACCCACGGAAATCGCGCAGACCCGAGCCAATCGCGCAAAAATCAGACAACCGCGCACACAAACCCGAAATCAAAAAACATCTCAACGACCCATCTTTGACCCCAAGTGGCGCGCACAATGAGCATGAAGAATCCCACGGAAACCGCGCGACCAGTACAACTTCAACCACAAGCGTCGCGCGCAACGGACCCGGAAAATCCCACCCACGGATATCACGCAGGTCCGAGTCAATCACGCGGAAATCTCAACAAGCGGTATTCGCGGAATACTCCCTGATGGGGGGAATTGTTGGGCAGGTGACTCGGACCTAGCCACGCCAGGGAAGCGCACCGGCATTATCCCCGCTGCTGCCAGCCACGTCAGAGCGCGATGCGACCGAAGGCGCTCCAGCGCGAAGACCTCGAGCGCGGCAGAGGCCACAAACGCAGGTGGGTAGACCAAGCGCTAAACGACGACGTCCGAACCAAGCGTTGACCAGACCAAAGAGCCGCAGAAAACGACGCCATGTTTCCCCAGGAGTGGTCACATCATGGTCCTAGATACAATCATAGATAAACCCCCTTGTCCTAGGTAGAGGTGTGGCCTAAATCCCTGACACGTCAGTGGTCATGTCATTGTACCATCATGTAACTCACACACCACCATGTAGCCTATAAATATGGCATTTACTCCGGTGGGTGTGGGGATTGCATTTTCGGAACTCTCTCTATATATTCATCAACTTCTCTCTCTAAGATACTGATTCAACCTCACTCCCCCTAATCTTATTTCTTGGTCATATAGTCGATTCCTATTGCTTACTTCCCTTGACCCCCTTTCTTTCTCGAATCTCACTCCTACACTCAGTTAGGTTCAAACAAAAGATGTTATATAAAAGTGTGCAATTTAACTGTATGTGAAATCCAAGTATGACACTTCATTTTGGGTATATTCGGGCTAAATCAGGCTAAAGAAATTGTCCTATTTGCCTTCAACCCACTTACTCGACCGGACCAACGAGCTAAACCGGGTTGACAACCTTGACCCAGCCAGCTGGTCCGGCCCGGCCGTAAATAACCAGAAAATAAGACGCATCATCCTACGCTGCACTTTGCACGGTTTCGTTCTTCCCCAAGGACAGAATTCAATTTTCTTTCCTAAAAAGAAAATCCACTCGCAGAGAGGAAAACAGAAAAGAAAAGGCGAAAATATAAAACAAAGAGGGAAAAAATAGGGGGAAAGGGTTTCCGGTGCTCCAAAGCAGAAGAGAGAGTGCGTGGCAGCGTAGATATATTCTCATTGCTCGCCCCCCTTGCATCCGCAGCGCGCTCAGCCAGACAGAAGTATAAGAAGCAGAGAAAGTCACCGGAGAAGTAAAAGTAGAAAAAGAAGAGGATAGCCAAAAGTCCGGCCATCGGTGTCGTCTGTACTCAGATCTGAGTGGGGGCGGTGACGCAGAGAGAAGGGGAGGTAGGAAGATGAGTGGGAAAGGAGGCGGCGGCGGAGGAGTAGGTCACAACAACAGCGATAGGAACCATGGCGGAAAGGGCAGTAATGGAATTTCCGCCATACCGGCGGGCTCCAGGAAGATAGTTCAGAGCTTGAAAGAGATTGTCAGCTGTCCCGAGGCGGAGATCTATGCGATGCTCAAGGAGTGTAACATGGACCCTAACGAGGCCGTTAATCGCCTCCTCACTCAAGGTTTTCTTTCTCTATCTTTCTTTCCTGTTATTTATTTGTTTTCCCTTCTTCATGATGAGCACGAAGGGTACAACTATGGCGATTGAAAGCTCTTTGTCTTAAACGCTTTTCAGCTGTAGTTTCAGTGGACTAGGAGTCGGCTGTCGACATATTTATTTTCTTCTTGATTTTTTTTCTTAAGTTTGAATGTTTCCTCTTTTGCTGGGTTTTGAGTGTTGGAGAACTTGGAGGTTCATGAGGGAATTATAAAATAACCGGCTACTACGGAGTGAGTGATAAGAGGCTATGTACTCGGGTGGAGGCTAAAGTTATTGCTTTCATTGGTTGTATGTTCGGCTTTACTTGCACGCTGTGGTTTGGGAAGTCTGATGAATGTTCTTGTCATCTTTCTTTTCCCCGTTACTTCTTGTTCTTCCCTTTGCTAGGGTTTTAAATCTTTCAGTGCTCATTCTAACTGTGGAGATCAGTACACTAAGGTATGTGATAGCAAATCTAGGTAATGAGTAATTAGCTCACTCTTATCAATAGGGTTGTAGCATGGGGATACCCGAGGGATCAGTGCAATCAGTTGTAGACCCTGTGACTCTTTCCTCGCCCCTTACTCATAACTTCTCGTCTTTGTCAAACTGAGAACGTGAAGACGAGAAATTAGCAGCAGTTTCAATAGGAATTGTAGCCTCTTTATTACTGCTTAAATTTTAAATTTGTTCTCTCTTGTTGCTTCACCATAAAGACTTAGGATTTTAATTGAATTACAATGATGTTACTGGTTTCTACTTATTTTACTTTCTCCTTCTATGCTGTTGGACTGATGGAGTTGGGGGGTTTGTTGGTTTGAGCTCATTCTGATGTAAAGTTACCCATTGTGTAGATCCTTTCCGCGAAGTTAAGAGCAAGCGAGAAAAGAAGAAAGAGGTACTTAGCGACCTGAAAGTCCTGAAATTTGTGTCGGTGAATACTTCATATAAGTATTCTCTACTTCTCGTCTGCTGTGAATTCTTTATTATTTAACCTTTTTTTCACAAGGGCTTCTGTATTTGACTCAGAATAAGGATACAACAGACATTCGGCCTCGTGGTGCTAATAATGTTACACATCGCGGTGGCAGGGGAAGTTCAGATCGGTATGGGCGTAGTGGATCAAACCAATATGGCTCAACTGGTATGAACATGATGCTCTTTATTACTTGAAGAAGTTACCTTTTTGTTTAAAATAAACTATAGACATTGGAGCCTATTTAACGCTCACCTTTCTGCTTCTGTTTACAGATTCTGGTGCTTTGCATGGTAAATCTGCTTACAGGAAGGAAAATGGAGCACATGCTTATGCAGGTTCTACTTCTTATGCCTCTGCCACTGCAGGGAACAATAGTGGGTGGCGAGCTCAATTTCCCAGGTGATCCTTTTGTGACCCCTTTGCATCAGATGTTGGTGTCCTACTTCATGTGTTCTAATGGGGCTATACTTATCCTATTATTTGAAATCTAGTTCTTGCTTATGATAGAACTACAGCAGTTTTATGTACCAGATCATGCAAAAGAAAAATAAATATACAACTGTCATGTCGCGCGAATGATGCTACATGTTTCGTATCAACTGATCAGTGTCCTATTTATCCTTCATTTTTTTGTTTTGTGTAATCGGTATTGCAACGTGGACAAGAATTTGGCTTTTTTGTTAGTGATAACTGAAAGCAAATGAATGGCAATGTTTTCAAATTCTTTTGGCGCTTGATCATCACATTATACTCCATAGTACTATCTACTTTCTTGGGATGTCGTATTCCTCATATTATAATACATAGTACTCTTCATCATTCAACTCTTCATATTTGTCTCATTCACGTTTCCCTCTTTTATTTTGTTATTTAGTTGTGCTTATGATGTTCCTTTGTATGTGTGAATGCCTTTCTGACCTGATGTTTACTTCTTTTTGCAGCGACTCTTTGGGTGCTGAAAATAAAACACCAACTGTAAGTGCAGGTGATGGGGTTTCCTCATCAGTGCAGCCTACTCCTGGAATTCAATCTGGTTGGATTGCGGTTCCAGGTCAGGTATCAATGGCAGATATTGTCAAAATGGGAAGGCCCCAGAGTAAGCCATCTGCACTACATAGCCACATTGTTAATGAGCAGCATGGATGGGGACCCGCACACAATGATATGCATTCATCAGAAAATAGTGCTCACAAGGTGCCGGAGATGCACAATGAACCAGAAGTTTATTCCAATGACTGGCCATCAATTGAGCAGCCATCTGGTGCTAATGTGTCATCTTTTATGGAGGCACCTACAGATCCTGAGTTGTATGCGAACCCATCAAGCTTACCTTTAGATAGAGCAGATGAGCACGTTAGGTCCGAGCCTGATGAAGTTCAGTCAGAAGAGGATGATCTTGTTCAAACGCTTAATGAAAGTCAAGTTGGGCCTCCTTCTGTATCCAGTAGACATATACAGGAAGATGGCATTGGAGGTTCCTCACTATTTGACAATGATCTGTATGATAATATTAACTCCTACCAGGCTCATAGACATGCTTTTGAGCATAATGAAGGTGAGCACTAAACCCCGATTTCTTAATTCACTAGTTAATGTTTTGATTAGTGATGGGATTAGGTCAATTTGGGTAAGTATTCGAGCCTTATTCAGTGGTGACTTATACCTTTGATTTCTGAAATTCATGTTGCTGTCATTCCGAATGTGGGAATATTAATTTTTCTCTCTGGGGAATGTGTCCTGTTCCTGCCATTCTTTTGCCTCGACACAGTGGTTTTCGTTACACTGGCTTTCTTCGTCTGGTAGTTCATTTTTATGATCCATATTCTATTATAAGGGAAATCAGTCTTATTTAAGACCTCTATTATTTTGTTTCAGCAGAGGACAGTTCATCATCTGTCTCAGCAAATCTAAAGCAATTGAGCTTGCAGAATGAAGATAAGGTTGGGGCACCTGAAGAAGATAACCCTGTTGTAATAATTCCAAATCATCTTCAAGTTCATGCTCAAGATTGTTCGCACTTAAGTTTTGGTAGCTTTGCTTCTGGCATCGCTTCGGGTTTGTCTGGGCCATTTGGATCGAACCCCTTGGCGAATAATCTGGAAGAGACATCTGAAACGGTGGAAGCCGACACAGCAGTGCACTCAAATGCTAGGTGTGCTTCGTTAAAGTGACCACTGACCATATACACTTGTTTGCTTGCTGTCACTTCATAACCACCTTAATTTGATTCTCTTGCAGAGATCCCGAGTACTATGCAGATGAGCATCTAAGAAGTACAGGTGAAGATGATTTAGTTCATAGAACTAATAATGCGAATGCTGGGAACTATGATTCTCCTGCAGTCCCTCAACCACAAGTCTTAAAGGAGGAAACCCAGGAAGCTGCTCAGGAAAATCAATATGCATTTGCCTCCTCTACGCCTGGCTATAATTATGAAAACACTCAGCATTTAGATGCTGCCTTTAACAGTCAACAGCCGAGCTCTCAGATGCAGAACATTGCTGCCTTCTCAAGTGTTATGGTATGGATCAAAGCTTATCTTATAATTCTTGTTCTGAACATATACAGTTATGCAATTGATCCTTCATGGATTACATTTCCAACAGTGCGGTCAAATATTATTGGTCTTGTATGTTTACAATTAAGTTCGAAGTCTCAAAAAAATATGTTGAAGTAAGAAGCATCATGCTCTTAAGTCTTAATTACTTGGTTGTAGAATGGGGTGCATAAAGTACAAAGTTTGAGATAGGTTAAGTACAGTAGGTTGGGGAATGGAAGGATTCACAAGAGCAAGTACATCTTGTAATGAGGCTACTCTGATGGTGGTGTTTGTCCTTGTGAAAGACGTGCTGGGTGACGGAGGCAACTGAATGCTACTTTTTATGTCGGGTGTGTTATTTTATCATGGAAAGGACTTGTTGATGCTGTCATGGTTTAATAACAAAGTAACTTGGATACATTGAAGCGACTTGCTTGGTTGCAATAATCAAAGAGAAAACTGCATAGTTTATGGAGTGTGAAATTCACACATAGCGAAGGTTGGGTTGCAGGCTTTATCAGACATGTGGTAGGTTAAATCAATGCAATTATTCGGTCTTGTTTCTAATATTATTTTCCATGATTACAGCAGGCCTATTCAAACTCATTGCCTAGTGGATTGCTGGCTTCAAACGTGCCAACAGGAAGGGAGCCTGATCTGCCATACTCACCTTTCCCAGCCACTCAATCCATGCCTACAAAGTATGGCACTACAGCGTCCTCTATCAGTGGTCCAAGCATGTCTATGCCAGAGGTATGCTGCTGTGATTTTCCATTGAGTGTATAGTCTAATTAGAGATATTTTCGGTCCAGTTTCACAGTATCCACAAGATTATCAATTGAGCTATTACTCTTGAAGGCTACTCCTCACGGGCAAAATCTCATGTACAATTTCCCTTTATTATTAAGACAAGCGGTCTATCAATTGTTTTTGTTGCTCAAAAATAATTCATATCTGATCATCTCAACTTATTTTTTTAAGCCTGACCATACACCTTTACTACCCTTTCAATGAAATAAAAGAAGTCAAGAAAAATGCATGATGAAAATTTTCAGATGATTACCATACTGTTAAAATGTGGTAAAGGTCCTACAAAAAAAAAATGTGGTAAAGGTATAAATCTGCATAGCACCACTCACGACCTTGATTGAAATATATGTGATGGAACAGTTTGTACATTTTATTTATATCTATGTTCCTGTTTCAGGCTCTCAGAGCATCCAGCATTTCCACGCATCAGCCAACTCAACAGTCGCTTGGTGGTGGCGGTGGTGCTGTTGCCACTGGACCTGCTCTGCCTCAGCACCTTGCTGTCCATCCATATTCACAACCTGCGCTTCCTATGGGCCATTATGCTAATATGATTGGCTATCCTTTCTTGCCTCAGAGCTATGCATATATGCCGTCGGCTTACCAACAGACTTTTGCAGGCAATAGCAATTACCACCAGGCTCTGGCAGCTATGCTTCCTCAGTACAAGAATAGTGTTTCTGTCAGCAGCTTGCCCACTCAGTCTGCTGCTGTCCCATCTGGATATGGGTTTGGGAATTCATCAAGCATTCCTTCAGGAAACTTCCCTCTCAATCCACCTGCTCCCCCTGCTGGTACAACTCTTGGCTATGACGATGTGTTGAGCTCGCAGTACAAGGATAACAGCCATTTGATGTCTCTGCAACAACAGGTATTTTATCCTCTGAGCTTCTGGACTGGTCTACTTCTTCGTTCTCTTTGGGGCATAAATCATTAGTGAGGGGTGGGATATTTGGGCTGGCTAGTTCATGGTTTTGGTTTAAATGATAATTATCTCGAAGTCCATTGACCTAACCCATTTAGTTTACTCCACAACCGAATGACATCGGGTCAAATGGGTGTAAGTGGGTCGGTTGGTTTGGGGTGATTTGCCACCTCCGTATATGACTTGTACTGCTTTACTGGATATGGTGATGAAGTTTTTCATGTTTCTCAACCTTTTCCGCTGAAGCCCAACTGATTTTGGTGGTTGTATTTTTCTTTTGTCAGAATGACAACTCAGCAATGTGGGTTCAAGGGCATGGATCACGGACCATGTCAACAGTCCCTGCAAACTCCTATTACAACTTCCAGGGGCAGAACCAGCAGCTGCAACAGCAACAGCAACAGCAACAGCAGCTTCAACAGCAACAGCAACAGCTTCAACAGCAACAGCAACAGCAACAGCAGCCCTCAGGCTTTAGGCAAAGTCAACAACAGCCGTCACAACATTATGGTGGTCTTGCGGGGTACCCGAATTACTACCATTCCCAAACAGGGTTATCCCTTGATCATCAGCAACAGAGCACGAGGGATGGATCTCTTGGCGGCAGCTCGCAAGGCCAGGGCCCAAAGCCAACCCAACAGCTATGGCAAAACAGTTACTAAAGGGTAGTGCGAGGCCTACCCTGCCATCACCTCGTGGTTTTTCAGGGTCTTTGTAGTCAGTTTGAAAGTGGCCAAATATCCAAAGGGCAGTCGGAAAAATAATAGATTGAATGTAAGATTTTCTTCGTCGTCCTGTTTTTCGGTGGCTGCTACTGCCCTGTGCCACGAGGCTGTACTCTCTTCATAATTGTCGTTGCTGCTCTGGTTTTAACCTACTTAGGAACAAGAAAGAAGAGTGCTAATCTCAGTGTTTAGTGAAGGACCTTGTTTCAGTTACATGCATTTTTGTGTTTTTGTTCTTGTGATAGTGAAGAAACTTTGCTCTGCGTTTTGTAGTTCAGGAGTCTTGAGCTCTTGATGGAAACCTTTCCTTCCTACATGTGAACTTTTCAACTACAGTGGGCTGGAACAGGTTTTCCTTGATGGTGTTTCTTCCCTAACCTTCCCTTGTTTCTCTGTAGAATTGTTCTGTGGCTATTGGTAGTAACATTGCCTTCATGTGTGTTTGCTGTTGAGAATGTAATATATTAGAAGTATTGAGCGTTTTGGGTCTAATTTTGTTGACTAAACCAAGTTAAGAAAGAACATTTTCATTGCTTTTGTGTGTGGTTTCTCTCAATGCTATCCTCTCCCTGTGCCCAAATGATTCCCTACCTTTCCCTTTTCCCCTTTTTACATCAGTTGTTTTGGGTATCTAATCCCTTTTAGCACTCACGGCGTTCCATGCAACGTCGCCGTCTCATCTCACCGGCGTTTTCCCTCTCAACAATCCGCTATATTTGCAACGGCAGAGCTTTCCTCCACCGCCGCTAGACGAATTACGCTTTTATCGTGACTCTAGAACTTACGGCTCGCTCGTCCACTATGTGATGGTTGTCATGTCGGTGACATTATGACAGGTTGAATTCGGTTCAATCGATGTCAGTAATGAAATTGAATTTATTATATATTTCATAAATTTAAAAATCCAAAGTTAATATTATTAAATTTAAAAATTCAAAGTTAATATTATTTGTTGGATTGTAAGTAAATTTTTCACAAATATGCCTTATATATAATTAATTATTAATAATTTTCATATTTTTACATATTTTGTTAAACTAAAATGAACCGGCACAAACCAATTGTATCTCTTGTGGTACCATTTCACTTGCCAAATCTGTTTATACAGGTTTGATAACCTTGACTCTATCATATTCATGTCGAGTTACTTTATCATTTTTTAACCCTATCTCGCATCTTCTTTACTTCCTCCTATCTGTTAATGGCGCGAACACTACACTTCACTTGCCGATGACGCTTGCAAATCCGAGCTGAATTCGAAGGTCTAGCAGGGAGAATTTTGCGGCGTGATGTGAACTAGTGTTTAAATTGCTTTCATCGAGAGTTTCTGGTGTGCTCTCTCCGCCGAATCGAGAACCTCATGCGGGATCCTCTGCCATGAACGGTAGCAGCGTCGTCGAAGGGGCGAGGGAAGGTAACAGAATGAAGAACCACAGCAGACCAGATGCCGTGTCCGGTGCTGATCTCTGGACCGAAGGTCTGATTTGCGCCTTCGAATTCGTTCGCGGCCGCCGGAGGAGCAATTTCAGATCTCCTCCAAAAACCCCTACCAGATCGACCAACGGCGGTGACAACAGGCAGCCGCACCTCCCAGGAAACGACGGCGTCGCTGAGAAACTACTGAACGACGCCTCGATTGGGGATGAATCTCGAGACGGCCGACTGCAGGAGTCGTCGGAGAGCTTCGACGGCAGCCACTGGGTGCCGATCGGCTGGACAAGGATCTCGGAGCTGGTAAAGAACGTGCAAGTCAATGATGGCTGGGCGTCGCAGCAGCTCGAGTTGATCGACTGTGAATCGGATATCACGGTAGCAGATTTGGCAGCTCCTTACTGGGAGCGGCCCGCAGGACCAATGTGGTGGTGCCATGTTGATGCCGGCCACCGCTCCGTCCAGGCTTGGCTCAACAGTGCTCAGTGGTTGCATCCGGCGATTAGTCTCGCGTTGCGAGACGAGAGCCGGCTGATCAGCGAGAAGATGAAGCACCTGCTTTACGAGGTATAGATACACATAATAGTAGTTTGCTTAGAGGTTCCTTTCCTGAAACTTCTTTAATTGTAGATAGTATCTGGAATACAAGTCAGCAGGTTGCTGCAGCTTCTTTTACAATAGATTGTTGGAATACAAGTCAACAGCTCTTGTGGAGCTTCTAGCCTCTAGGGTTTTGCATTGTTGATTTGTGGTTTCTTGTTGCTTTCGTCGAGGTCCCTGTAAGGGTTGCTGGAGGGCTTCTGTTTGAGCTACTGGGACAGTCTGCTGGTGATCCATTTGATGATGAAGATGACATTCCAGTCGTGCTACGTTCTTGGCAAGCACAGAATTTCCTGGTTACTGCGTTGCATGTTAAAGGCACAGTGTCAAGAATAAATATTCTGGGGATAACTGAGGTTCAGGTAAAACGTTCAACTTTCTTACTCGCCCTCATCCATTTCATTAGTTTTTGCCAGCCTGTTTGTGAAAAAGATTGATGCCCTGGTTGTATTATTTGATTGCAATAGGATCTTCTGTCTGCTGGAGGTTATAATACGCCTAGAACAGTGCATGAAGTCATAGCACAACTAGCTTGCCGCTTGACTCGATGGGATGACAGGTACTACTTCTACTTGAAATTAGGTAGATGAACGATATAAGTATGTTTCTTTGTTGTTTTTATGGCATAAGAAGTAAAGATGTGATGCAAGCATATCTTGGGCAGTTTTCTCATGGGCTTCTTGTTTGTTTTAGGCTATTTCGCAAGTCGATCTTTGGGGTTGCCGATGAAATCGAGTTGAAGTTCATGAACAGGTTTGCTGTATTGGGGGCAGCTGATAATGTCTACTCTTCTTGTTTCGGAAATGCCAGTCCTTTTATCTTTGTTATTGTATTAATGTCTATCGTAATTAACAGGAGAAACCACGAAGATATGCATCTCTTTGGGATTATTCTGAACCAAGAGATTCGAAAGTTGTCACGACAGGTACCAGGAGGACCCCTCCAACCATATTAAGCCATTTTGGCTGATAACCATCTCCTTCAATGACCAATGTTGATATATTATTTGATGTTTGCAGGTTATTAGAGTGAAGTGGTCACTCCACGCGAGGGAGGAGATTATATTTGAGCTGCTTCAGCACTTGAAAGGAAACGGAGCAAGAATGTTGTTAGAGGGAATAAGAAAGACCACCAGGGATATGATTGAGGAGCAAGAAGCAGTTCGAGATCGCTTGTTTACCATTCAAGATGTCATGCAAAGTACTGTCAGGGCATGGTTGCAGGTTAGAATAACCTCTCATTTGCAGTAGCTAGTAGTTTGGCAACTTTCCATGAAGATAAAAATTTATATTAGTATGGTGAACAGGCCTAGTAGGAAACTATATATTATTAGCGAGTGGTTTTATATTTAAAACGTCATGGATGTAATGTGCATAATTTCTCCAAAGTTTAAGTTCTGATAAATGTTTTGTTAGATGTTCTCTCTTTACTACGAATCAAATCACTTAATTTCTCCTGATTTTTTTCTTCTTCTCATGATGCAGGATAAAAGCCTAAGAGTGACACATAACTTGGCTGTTTTCGGTGGCTGCGGCCTTGTGCTCTCAATCATCACTGGGTTATTTGGGATCAACGTGGACGGAATCCCAGGAGCGGCAAACACTCCATATGCCTTTGCCCTTTTCACAGGGATACTCTTCACCATAGGCTCAGTGTTGATTGCACTGGGGATCTTGTACCTTGGGCTTAAGAAGCCGGTCAAGGAAGAGCAAGTGGAAGTAAGGAAGCTGGAGCTTGAAGAACTGGTTAAGATGTTCCAGCACGAGGCTGAGACCCACGGCCAGGTTCGCAAAGGTAGGACCAGGACTAACCTCACCCCGACTACTGGTGACAAGTTCTCTGATGACGTAGATTATGTTCTCATCCAATAAAACCCCAATTTAGATCCTCGTCTAACGACTCTCTGCTCTGCCTCTTGTTCTGAAAAGAAATACTTTCAGGATACTCACTAAGCATTGAAGGGAAATGTACTAGTGAGACTGCAGATATGGCATAAACTTGGGATGTTAGTTGCTTTTGTTCTCGCATATACTACTACTTCGCAGTGGCTCATTCGATCGTCTTTTCTGCTAACCAGAGAGTTGGAGCAGAGTATTCATTACAAACCGAAGTTTAAATCTAACATATTATGTATAAGACGACAGCGGGAGGGAGATAGTAACTATGTATTGTACAAAGTAGAGGATATTCATCATTTGAGAAGGGATCTCGTGAGATGCTCGCGAGCTGTGACCAGGGCTTGAGCCAATGTCTGCAAAAAACCACAAAGTAGACAAGCTGTGAGGCTAAACCATAACGACCAGAACAGAGAACAGAGGTTTTCAGGGGTCGAAGATGGTACCTGCTCTGACAATGGAGCTCCAGAATCTATGTTATGACTAGCTACCTTGTTAGCAAGAACAGCTGCGTCTGTTTGCAGAGGGACACTGCACAATCGAAGCAAAAATAAAAACACGGTTCTTACAACGGGAAACATTTTGGAGCAAGGTTTGGAAAACTCGAACGAATTCTCTCATACCCGCCATCGATAGTTTCATCCAAACACAGAAGAATGAGATCCAGATTCTCAAGCACCTCGCTCTTCTCCACATTGCCTCTGAAGTTGGATCCAAAGAGACAATAAACTCAGTAAACATAATAGGCCATAACTGGGAAGGAAGAAATTGTTTCAGGACCTGAGTAGAATGCCGACAGCATCAAAGAATCCCTGAAGAACAGAGGCCAAGATCAACTCATTCTGATCTTCACCTCCTGTAACGAAGAAATGGAGATCTTCTACGAACTTGTACACGATCACGTAGCTGTCGATCATTGTAACTTCAGCTGTACACAAACACACAACCAATCGAAATTGTCTGATGATTCAATCCATCTACAAGTTCGAAAGAAGGAACAGACTGAATCATGCGAGAGAGATATAGACCTTCCGTACGAGCATTCGTTTTGTGCGTCTTGGTGAACACCGTCTTCTCGAAGGCTTCTTTCGCGCCATTGGTCGGCCAATCCTCATCGGAGTAGTACTTCACGGCAACGCGTTTGCCTTCAGAATCCAACACAAGGATGTTCTTCACCTGTGGACAAGCTTGCTGTAAATACAATCAAACACAGAAGCAGAAACCACGTTAGATAAAGAACGGAAAGCAAGAAGAAGAAGAACAAGTCCCAGATCCAGCAGTAACCAACCAACCAGTGAACTCTTGAGTTCACTACACTTAACAACAACCAGTCAAAGCCTAATCGTCCCCATTGCGGCAATCATGCAACTAAAAATTTCAATCAGAAAGGAACTCCAGATCCATCAGAGTCTTTCTGTTCTACTATCGATGAGAAATTCAGATCTGGCATTGATCTCCATTCACCAGATACAGATCGTTGCAAAGAAGGTCGATCGAATGACTCAGATGAATTGCTACAACGCTTGAAAGGAAAAAAACAACCTAAAGCATTTTGATGAACTGTTTAAGCCCCCACTGATCTGGAGAGCATTTTCCGAGTTCTGTACCAGCTTCGGCACTCGCATTACGGCGGAGCTCGAGAATGGAGAAGAAATTCGATGGAGAAGGAAGAAATAGAGAGGGAGAGAAAGGAGGATGGAGTGCACTGTACCATCTTTACGTTCGGCAAGATTTTCGGCGGAGAATTCTGAGTATTGGAGCTTCCAGTTGTTTTTGGCGACGAGCGTGTTGAGCGCAAAAGGAAGCGATCCACGACTGTGGAAATGTATTTGCCTTTATGGTCGTCTCCAGGCGCTGGCAGGTAGTCGTGTCTTATGGGTTAAGGAGTCACTCTCACACAGTCACACTCTCGCGCGCGGCTCCCACCGTTTTCTTCCTGTCGAATCAGATTTCCTTTCTTCTAGAAACGTTTTTTTTCCCCTTCTTCTTCTTTCTTTTCACCTCGTAATAGAAAAGAAAGCTACTGAGTGACTGAGTGCTGCTGACCTCCCCTTTGTGGTGTGGGGTACTGGGGTTTGGGCCTTCGGCTAAGGAGCTAAATTGATTCTGTTACTCACCTCCACATCAGCCCAACATTAGCGCACCCTGAAATTCGGCCGACTCACCAAATCACATAGAGCTGAAAATCCACTAACCCAGGGGCCAGGGTTCGCCAAAGCAGATGAAACCTACTCGATAGTTTGATTGGATGGAGTTGGAGTTGGAGTTGGAGTTGGGACCATGGGTCGTGACTCTGAGTTGCACAAGTCACAACGGCTAACAAGATAAACCTAGGGGTCGTTTGGATGGATTTTTTCTGTGAGTTATTTTGACTCAAATAACTCAAAACCAGTTATTTGAGCCAAAATAACACGTTTGGCTAAACAAATGTTGAATGTGGTATTTGGGCCTGTGGTATTTTAAAATAACGCAAAAACGCGTTATTAAGAATAACTGGGGGGTGGGCAGTTATTCTCAAATAACGCGTTCTGGCCGCTTTTTCTTCCAACTCTACCCTCTGTTCGCTTTTCTCTTTCCTCCCTCACCCAGAGCACTAAACGAAGAGTCTTCTTCTGCCTCTCTCCTACCTCCTTTCTTTGAATCTTTTGATTCTTCTATTCTGAAACCAAATCGATTGGGGGAAAATCGATTCTTCTTCTAATTTCGGATTCCTCTCTGAATGCAGATCTGATTGAGTAGGCGAAACCCTATGTTGCGACGAACAGAGCCGAAGACGAGTTAGCATGCGGCGGTGAACGGCAAAGAAGGCGACGACGGCAGGTGTGGCGGCGGGTCGAAGGCGGCGTGAATCGCTTTCTGTTCCTCTTTGTTTTTCGATTCCTCTTTGTTTATCGATTGCTCTTATATCTGGGTTTCGATTCATCTGTTTATCGATTTGCCTCCTTACTCATTGCTCTGGTTATCCCCGACTCGTGTAGAATCCTTTGGTGGATTTCGCCCAATCAATTGTGCCTAATTGCTATGCTCTGTTTCTATTTTGCAGTTAATCTTTTTGTTTCGGTAAATATCGGTTTTGATTTTGATGTTCTTGTATCTGTGGTTGCATGCAGAGTTCATAGAAAATGATAGCTTCTGTTTCTTGAATCTGGGTTTCGATTGGGTTGGATTTGATGAGCTGGGTTTCTTGATTCTGGGTTCGACTTCCCATTCAATTTGCTCTTCTTTGGCTTTTCATAGAAACAATTAGGTTTACAAAATTGGGTTTGACTTCCCATCTAGTTTCCCTACTGATATCTATTTCCACTTCCGTTGAGCACCAGTGGCCTTCATGTTTGAGAATTTGTTTATTCCCCCAATTCACCGTCGGCTGAATTTCTTCTCTATTATGCCTTTTGATGCAGGGGAGAAGAAGGGAGAAGAATGCTCAATTGGTGCCATCATTATCCCAAAAAATCCAACATCTATTGCTATGAAGATGAAGATGATAAAGTATTTTGGCCTGATTATGCTCAATAGATAGGCTGATTGTTTTTATTTTGTTCCTTCTGCAGATTGTTAAATCTTTAATGGCTTGTTAAGTAATAGTTTGTAATGGATTGTATCATGATGAGAAAATGATAGTTTGTTAAGGAAGGGTATTATGGTATTTGCAACTTTTATGTCCTCAAATACCACATGAAAATAACTCATTATTTTTCTTCATCCAAACAAGTTAATTTAACTTTCAATTCCTCCAAATAACACACAAATACCACATAGAGAAAAAATGAGTTATTTTATCTTACAAATACCACATTGAAAATTAACCCATCCAAACGACCCCCTAATGAATTGTGAAAACACCTTTATCTAGATAAGTAAATTGAAGGGAGAACATCATTTTGTGGATAAGTAGAATTCACATTGCGATGCTTAGTAAGTTCCTTATTCTTCATTGTGGACGTCGAATAGCCTCACTTATAATTTTTGAGCTTAACATACAAATAGCATAAGAAATATCAAATTTGAGCATGTCTTTAAAAGAACACACCAATGCCTCTTTCATAATCCAAAGTACCTATTTTTTTTAGTTTCGTCAATCTAAAAGACTTCTGGCGTGGGGTATGGGATTATGCCTGTGCGTGTGGAGCTTGACTCAAAGTGTGCAGTTCAGCTCAACTGCTCACCAGCTCGGAGCATCAAGATCACCATCATGCAACCATTAATTAGAGATTTAGACCCTATTTCAGTAGAACTGGGAAGTCTCCATTTTTCATATTTATAGAGAAGATAACAAGTGTGTCGATTATCCTCACAAATTGGGGTCATTTGATGTCGTTTGGTTTTCATAGTGTCACAGTTTTCGATCTTGTACTCCAATGGAAAATTTTGTATGATTGTCAGAAAATTTACAAACCCTGATTGATTTTGAATGAAGTCTGAGATGTGCTCGGTTTATAAGAAAATAGTGCAACATTATGGGATGCCTTTGTTAAACCACAATTGGTATGAGTTTGTTAAAATTTAGAAGTTTAGGGGTATTTTTTGTTAGTCGACACAAAATACGTGCGCTTAACTGAATAGGGATGCATTTTTAAAATAAAAAAGGAAGAATCGGTGAACCGCGGCGGCCGAGTGAGCGCAACGTCCGGTGTAGATTTGTGAAACCTGGAGGACTGAGACATACACAACCCCAGGCCAGAAGACATGAGGCGGTTGTTGCTTCAGTCCATGCGATCCCTCTCTCTCAGTGAACCGCCATCTTCACCTCTGCTACAGGTTCCGCTCTAATCCAATTCCTTCAAAGCTCTCTCCTTCTTTCCTCCCCATTTCCAGTGATCAATTTAACTATCCGTTTTCGCCCAGGTGCCCGTCGCTGCTCTACTGATCGGACGCCATGGACGGTACTTGCTTCTCTAATCAATCTCTACATATTCCTGAACTGCATGGCTCTTTTAGGTTTTTTCCCTTACTCTCCATCGTATATCTGGCATGAATGCTACCGGGAGCGGGACTCGATTACTTGGCGAATTGGAATTGGGCTCTGTGTCTGTCATTTTGGGTGCGAGAATCACTGTGTGAAAACGTGGTCACCGGCAATTGTTTGGTGGCCTATAAAATTTTGGAGTTCTGAATCGCTGCCCTGCTCTGAAATTGTGGAACCATTTTCTTGTCTTGTGAATGGAAGATTGTTTGTGTATGCGTACAGTTCAACTACTCGAGTGAGTGAGATTTCATGGTGTCCTGTGGTGGGATTGTCGTCCACTAGGAAGCTGAATTATGGATTTAGAACGTTTTGCACTGTTGGAGGTGCGTCGTCATGAACCCTCTACCTCTTTCCTACCTATGGTTTAGTCGAATTGTAAATTTGTTTGTGATGATTTGAGACCTTCTATAATGATTTCTAAGTTAAGGAAGAGTCGCCCTAGAAACAAAAAACTCTGAATCTCTGCACTCTTTTATCACGCATTGCTCGGTCATTAGGTGTTTCCTTGGGCAGATGGAATCTGAAGCCCATGCTTTCTATCTTATTTGCTCTTGTTATTATCCATTTTTTTTGTTTCTGTATCAATATCTGTAGGTGGATTCATACTATACTAGCAACGACTAGTGATGAAATAGCTCGATAGTTGCAGATATTCGATTGTATGTGATGCGGCTTAGTTTTCATGATAGATTTGGTGACCAAGAAGTGCGTGCCTTGTAACTCAAAGGACATGCGACCCATGACCGAAGAGAGTGCTGCTCAAATGATGCCAAAGGTTTTTGTTTTTTCGTGTTACTGCTGTTACTATTTCTTGCTGCTATTCGTGTCAAAATTAACTATCCCTAGCTTGTTGATTTCCCCGAATAGGTGTCAGGGTGGAGCTTGGTCAATGAGGATGGTAAGCTGAAGCTGAACAGATCGTGGAGGGCTAAGAGTTTCACCAATGGACTGGAGCTATTTCAGCTTGTAGGGAATATTGCTGAAACTGAAGGCATTCAACTTACTTTGACTAGAAAATTTTGGTTTTAGAGCCGACAAAGGATGACATTGACAGTGTATATGCATATTGTGATTAATGCAGGTCATCATCCCGATCTTCATCTTGTTGGGTGGAATGATGTTAAGATCGAGATATGGACACATGCAGTCGGTAAGCATCTCCATTTCCATACATATCAACCTTTCTACAGTGATGTTGCCTCTTTTAGAGAGGCAAAATGAGGAAACATTTGCTTTTGTGAATTGTGGCAAATTCGCAGTGATAAAGTGTAGGAGCTTCTCAGCCTCTGAACAAACATAGCTAGCTAACAGTCCAATAGTCAAAAACCTATCTTTGGTTCTCACCAGGGAGCTGCTTGGTCTCATCTTTATATTTGTTTTAGCTGCCATTCGACTTTCTTCCATTCCAAGTCAGTTAATTGTATATTTGACTGGTGGGTTATGCTTGCACAGGGGGGCTAACCGAGAACGACTTCATACTGGCTGCAAAGATCAATCAACTCGACATGCATCACCTACTCAGAAAGAAACCTTCTGCTTCTGCTTCCTGAGAGATGATGACGAGATAAATTCGCTACTGTTTCATTATTTTTGAGCTATCCAAGACCAAAAGAAATGAGTAGGACTATGTTCTGCCATTTTTTCGCCTTCATGGATAGTTTATCACTCCCATATTATGCACACTTGGGGCAAAAAATGTGATCAAGTTGGAGATTCGGCCATCATCACAAAGGGAGAAATGGTGTGGTTGATCATACTTTTATTTAACCACTACTACGCACGATGAATTAACAGAATACATGAATTACCATTCTACAATCGTCGAAGATCCAGCAGAAACTATTATACAATTTCTCTCCTTTTTTACAGTTACAGATCTGGTAATCTCTGCTCGATCCTTCACTCCAAGTGTTCTCTACTTCTCTTCGTCCTCCCTTCATTTTGGAGGGTGCTGGCAAATCAATGGTACCTAAAAGCAGACGCGGGAAAGGCCATTACCAAAAGGAGCAACCTAAAATCATGGATGGCATTCAACTTTATGAAGGTAATCCATGCCATCCTAGGAACCAGGTTCGAAAAGGTCATCATCACCACTCAATTCGTACCCTAAACACATATTCCACGCTAATGGCTGAAAAAGGAGCCTCTAGGCTCTTCCCTATAACGGAAAACTTTAACCAGAAAAAGCCCATCATCCTAATCTTCAGGAGGCACTAAGAGCCAACGCAAATACCTGAAAAGAAGAGAGTATTGAATTTTGACTATAGCCCCGATCTGAACAGCGGCTTCTGCAGAAGTGCGGTCAAGTAAACTTCCCCATTCTTCAACCCACTGGAATCGGTCTTGTTGGCGACGGCCCACTTCACCTTCTTGTAACCCAACTTTCCGATCAACGGCCCATAGACCTTACTCAGATCCGCACCTTTGCTGAAGAAATGATCGATCCAGAGGTAACCGCCGCTCCTCAGCACTCTGTCCACGTCATACAGCAGGAACTCCATCGCCGCCAGCGGGATCCACCGGTTCACCGCCCGCCCGCACCGCACCAGATCCAGCACCCCGTCGAACACCGGCAGCCGCTGCTGCAGCGGCGCGTGGAGCGGCACCAGCCCCCTCATCGCCACCACCTCGCTGTTCGGCACGTTGAAGTTCATCGTCGTCGTCACCACCGTCACGTTGTACTGCTTCATCCTCGCCGCGAAGGTCCCCGTCCCTCCCCCGACGTCGATCCCCAGCCGGATCGGGGAGCTGGCGGTCTTGGAGATCTGGATCAGCTGCGGGATCGGGAGGTCGAGCTCGGTCTTGTAGGTCATGAATTTCGAGATCTCGGTCCCCAGATCGAACCCTAGGTTCGGATTCTCCTTCGCCAGGCAGGCGAACGACTTGCAGCTGTACTTCCCCCAGAGCACGTTGGAGTCGAGGAGGGAGGAAGGGAACGGGTTGCGCGGCAGGGAGGAAGGCGGCTTCGAGGGGGTTTTGGAGAAGCAGCGGCGGCGCGGGAGCGGGTGGCAGCCGCGGAGGATTAGGGATTCGGCGAGATCGGAATCGGGCGGGCAGGCGGAGTAAGGAGTGTAGGTCATGTACTTGTGGAGGAGGTCCGGGTGGTTGTTGCAGGCGGAGGCGATTGGGGAGAGGCTCGCGTAGAGGAGCAGATCCGGCGGGATTGTCGGCTTGGATTCGTCGGTGTCGGTGGTGGCGGAGGAGGAAGGCTGGTGGCGGGTGAGGTGGTTGATGGTGGCGCGTATGGTGTTGAGCTGGCGGAGGAGGTGGTCGGGGACCGGCTGGGAGGTTGCGGTGAGTGGGGACTGGAGATTTGAGGAGAGGTGGTACAAGGAGAGGAGGTTCGTGGCCACCATGGCTAGTAGGAGGAGCAAGTTCAAGCTCATCGTGAAAGTGAACCCCATTTTCTCCGGCGAGTCAGTAGAGCTCAGTGGTGAAGACAGAGTGAGCTTGAGCAAAGAGACGACGACTGTCCGAGTCGACTCTGTTTCTTACCTTCTTGGACTGGAAATTGATAGATTCGACAGCCGAGCATCAGATCAGATTTTTAGCAAGAAAAAAGTAAGCTGGAGGGAGGATTCGATGCGGCCGATTTCACAGTGGGATTTGCGTGAGGCCCACTACGGCCCAGAGTTATTTGGGCTTTTTGGATGATGAGAGTGGTCCGAGAAGGTATGGCGGAATGACGAAGTTGGCCCCTCGACTTTGTGAAATTACTCTCTGTATCATTGAGAATAGAATCAAAATATCAAATCGATCTTTCACACTTGTTCAATTTCAAAGATAGGTTCGAGGGTGGCGTCGAGTGAACGCTAAATCCGAAACAAAAGAGGCGAGGTCCACTGAGGACGGCTCTCGGGAAGAGCTGAAGGTTACTTTGCCCGCCGGAATTTTGAGCATCTGGATTTCATTCACCGTTGTCGGAATCAATGGTGCGGTTATTCTTTTCCGTCTCTTTCTCTTGTCGTTCCTAATTTCCGTCCCGTCATTTAGCGAACTGGGAACTTTCATGGTGATAGGGTTTCACTCTGTGCTCTCGAATTGATTGGGGGATTTAGTCTTTAAACCGTTCTATTGTCGTACGCGTTACAGCTCTTATTGTTTTTGCGTGAGTGTTTTCACATCCTCGTCGAAATTGAATGAACGGGATGGTGATGGCGGCAGCTGTAGTTCAGTTGGTTTCTCTGAAATCAATTAAGTAATCAGTTAGTCTGAGCTTGTGTTCTACTTTGCTTGTTAGGCTGACCCGGAGCTGGAAGCGATCAGGCAGAGAAGGATGCAGGAGCTAATGGCTCAACGTGGTGGTGGCGGCGGCGGGGCGGTAATTTGTAGCTCCCTCTGCTTCCTTTTTCTTTTTTGTGTGTGTTCATATATGTTACCTTCGGAGGTGAATTGCTGATTGGAAAGTAACCTGACTATAACAGGCAAGTCAACCGAACCCTGAACAGCAGAATGCTCAAGAAGATGCTAAGAGGTTCTCTATGTATTTCTGTAAACATTGTCCATTGATTGCCACTTCGCCAGTGATTACACTGTTTCAATATGTACACAATCCTTGATAGTGAATGTCATCTGAACTCTTCATTTTCCTGATTCAGAGAGGCTGAGGAGCGTAGGCAGATGATGCTGAGCCAGATATTGTCTGCTCAAGCTCGGGAAAGGAGTAAGTAATTATTTTTGCAACTTGTGAATTATTTTACGGACTAAATTCATTTATACAAATTTCCTGGTGTAAGGGCTTCCTCAGTCGTCGACTCATAGCTTAGCAATTAGGTTGGTTTAGCTGTTTATTCTTTTATCCCTTGTTGATGATAAAGGGATGTTGTTGACTTCATCAGTTTGTGTTTTTCTGAATGAAAGAATGAGGATTCGGTCAGTTTGCTTGATTCTGTATTTGATCCTACATTGCCTATTGCGCAGTTGCAAGAATTGCATTGGTTAAGCCTGAAAAGGCTAGAGGTGTTGAAGATGTTATACTTCGAGCGGCTCAAATGGGTCAGATTGTTGAGAAGGTAAATGATAGAGTTGTGTCCACAATATTGGTCACTATGCAGTTTATAATTTATTCAGCCCATTTTAACCTAACCCTGTTTGCAGGTATCAGAAGAGAGGCTGATTTCACTGCTAGAACAGATAAACACCCAAACATCCAAACAAACCAAAGTCACAGTAAGTCATTAGTGTTGTTGCTTACGTTCTTTGAATGAACCCTTGTATAGACATGGTATGGAATAAACTGACATGTTTATTTGGGAAATCTCAGATCCAGAGGCGTCGTAGTGTTCTGGACGATGATGACTGAAATATGAAGATCTCTTTCTGGGATGCATCTATACAGCGTGTTTCGGTGAGTTGCAGATTCATGATCAAGGGGCTTTATCTTGCAGAGTTGTGAGATAAGTCATATCTGTATTTTTACCATGCAAGAAGCACACGTTATCAAGTCTCCCCATTTGATCTAGAGAGTTGTCTCAGTAGTAATGTATGGCGTCGTTCCTAATGGTATTTGCAGCCACGTAATTGATGGCCATTGGATTATGTTTCCTTATCCGTGGAATTATACATCTTTATCAACCGTATCTTTATGGCATCTTCTGGCGTCTTGTTCATGTATTTCCCTGCCTGAGTCTCCCTGACTAGGAAATAGGAATGGACAAGAAGTCAAGGTCAGTCCGTCCAAGAGAAATGGCTTGAGGGTGCTTGTTTGTCCCATACTGCTGTGCAGCATAGTGAATAAGCGTTCATAGGAGCACCCCAGATTTTACTGAGTGTAAATAATCCTTGTCCCTAAGTGTAAAAAATCCATTTCCAGCTCGATGGAAAAGTAGTGTTAATAATCAGCTGATCCCAATAATTCGAGTGGTTGGGTGAGGCATATACCATGTACTAACAAGTAGAAGGTGGAGTAGCATAGACATATGCTTCTGTCTGTCACGTTCAACAACTAATTTGGACTGTCGGCATGAACAACGAAGATGTCGTGGGATGTATTGTTTGTTTTTTGGTTATGGATGGTCATGTTCTCCTTATGTTTCTTATGAAAAGAGTACATTCAACAGGTAAATCCATTGTTTGGACTTTGGACTATGAAAAGAAGACAGGTAGAAGGAAATGAAAATTGCCTTTAACACTGAATTAATTTGTTGTATTCCTTTCGAAGGATCTCTTTCAGAAGCAGCCAGCCACAGCCAGGCAGCTATAGCCTATAGCAAATAAGGTTCGGGGAAGGTATATTAGTATTGGGCTATTGGCATTGGCCCACCTTAATGAATAAATAAATAGCTAGGAATGGGAATATATGAGATGAGTAAGTTGGAGAATGAAGGAGGCATGGGCTTCCGGGATTTAGGCGGGTTTAACACTGCACTCTTGGCCAGACAGCTATGGAGCCTTCATCAAAGGCCGGAGTCGTTGGCAGCCCGGGTGCTTCGAGCTAAGTACCACAAATCGTCATCTATTTTGGAAGGGCAGTTGGGACACCGCCCTAGCTACATTTGGAGGAGCCTTTTGGGGGTGCAGGATTTCTTAATGAGCGGGCTAAGGTGGAGAATTGGAAATGGGGCTTCGGTCCGGATTTGGGGTGATCAATGGATCCCCGGGGTGGAGAATAATTTCGTCACGTCAGCGCCAAGAGGCTTGCCGGTTGACTCTACGGTAAGGGAATTGATTGATCCCGAAACTGATCAGTGGGATTGCACAATCATTAACAGTTGCTTCACACCCGAAATAGTGAATGCCATCTTGTGCATCCCGTTGCGAGGGGAAGGGGAACCCGATCGATTAATATGGAGTGACAGCAGGTCGGGAGCGTATACTGTTCGGGATGGATATAGATTTTGGCTTAAAGGCTTCAAGCTACGCGAGAAGGTTGAACAGGTGGGAGAAGCTGCTCTGTGGAATAAGCTGTGGTCGATGAACATTCCGCCGAAAGTCCGTCATTTTATGTGGCGATTTACCCGGGATATATTGGCTACTGGTGACCACCTCAGTGAGAAGAGCGAGAAGAGAGGTGATGGATGCCCCTTTTGTGGACAAAGAGAAACACTAATTCATCTGTTTAGTGAATGCGGGTGGACGAGTAGGCTGTGGAGGCAAACTGATTTGGCTGGCTGTTTCGAGAAGGCGCAAGGGAGAAGTAGCATGGAATGGGTGATGGAGGGTTTTAAGAACATGGAGGAGGCAGCCTCTGAGGGGTGGTGTATGTTGTTGTGGTATTTCTGGAGAGAGCGGAATGCACAGTGTTTCAATGGTATTAAGGGGGAAGAAGCAATGATAGGGGCGAATGCCCAGCGATTGCTCCATGATTATCAGCAGTTTCAAGGACGGGACGGGACGCCACCGGTGAGAAGAGAGCCGAAACATTAGGAGCGACCGAGGGCAGGAATGATTAAAGTTAATACGGACGCGGGTATCTTGCAAGGAGGAGGGGCTGGTTTGGGAGTGGTTATCCGTAACGAGCGAGGAGATTTTCTCATCGCAGCAGCTAAGAAGATACGAGGAGGTCGGGATGTAGAGATGGTAGAGGCCTTGGCGGCGGAGTTTGGTCTCCGTTTAGCGAGACAGTTTCACTATGAGAACCTTGAGCTGGAGGTGGATTGCCTTAGTCTGATCCAGAAGCTGAATGAAGCAGAGGCAGTGCAAACGGAAGTCGGGATTATCTGTCGAAGTATTAGGCGGTTGCTGGGAAACCCGGGAATGGGAATGTGGAGGCATGTGCGGCGGGAGCAGAACACAGCAGCTCATGTGATGGCACACAGAGATACGAACTGGGATTCGGCGATGGTGTGGGTAGATCGACCCCCGAGTTTTCTGATGGAACAGCTGAGGCTGGATAATGTAGCTAACCTCTCTTAGTCTTTCTGTGAGCAGGTTCCGGTCAAAAAAAAAAATCGTACTTATTATAGATGGAAACCGCGGGGCTACAGCTCATTAAGGTTATGAGTCTTATTATCACTTAAAAGTCAATCACTTGATAAGCCAAAAGGGCAGGGATGGCAATGGGTCGGGTTGGGGCGGGTTTTGCCAAACCCGAACCCAAACCCATGAGTTTGTCCTTCAAAAAAACCCGGGGTAAAACCCGCCGGGTTTGAAAAACTCAAACCCAACCCGCTGGGTATCCACGGGTTGATGGGTAACCCGTGGGTTTTTTTGAGTCTGGACCTTGGAAGTTTGTCCCTTGCCGGCCGAGCAGAGGAAGAGCAGGGGATGAGGGGAATCTGTCCAACAACCCAAACCACTTATCCGCTTCCTCCGCGGCGGAGGAGGACGAGTCGGCGCCGCTGTCCCCGGACAAAATCCAGCTCGTCGTCAAGGAAATCGGAGGCGAGAAGGACTCGGGAGCGAATTGCTCGGGAGCGAATTGCTCGCTCGACGAGCTTTCGAAAATCGCTGCAGGTGTCTCGTTGGTGAAGGAGAATTGGCCGGGAGTAAAGATCTGGCCACGACCGCCGCCACGCCCTCCTCCGCCGGAGGAGATGGAGAAGGGAGAGAAGGTAAAAGAGTTTCTGGTAACATGATTGCCGATGAAATTGGTAGGGATTGAAATGCCTCTTCTTCTCATTGCTTGCCCGCAAGGTTTCTTCGATCTTCGGCGCCTGAAATTGAGGGTTTATTGCTCTGGATCTCGTCGCTTTACACAAAATCGGCACAGCTCGAGTGGAGAAGATGGATTGAAAGGGGAAGATGGACGAGGAAGCGGACCAAAGCCCAGATCTATTTCTTGCTCGCCGGTCAAAGAAAGACAATTGTCAGGCGAGTGGGAATGGCGCGGAGAGGAGAGGGGGGATGGCGGCGGGACGGGAGGAGTAGGCGGTCGGCGACCGTCGAGAAGGGAGGGGTGGCGGGTTTGTTGGTCTGGGAAATGGGGGGGGGGGGTAATTGGAAAATGTAGTCAGCTGCTGTTAGGATTTTAGGGTTAGGGGTGCGGCCGGGTATCCACGGGTCGGGTTCCCCCAAACCCGAACCCGCCCCAACCCGCCCAACCAGCCACCGGGTTCAAACCCGAACCCGGTCAACACGGATTTTACCCTGTTTGACCGGGTTGGGTCGGGCCGGGTACCCGCGGGTCCGGGTTGAACTGTCATCCCTAAAGGTCACCGTCACAGTCATCTTCACATGCCGGTTTTTCTTTCCGGCAAACATTCACATGACTCACTAAGCTATAGTCCAAGGTTGTCAACCCGGTTTAGCTCATTGGCACGATCGATCAAGAGGTTGATGGTTAATGGGCCGACCACTTTAGCTCAGTTTAGCTCGAATATATGAAAATAATCATTATATTGTTTATACATTTATAAATTATATCAAACATATGAATAATAACCATATAACATTACACCAAAATAACTTGTCGTGCCTTGATCCAACTTACAGTGAAAATTCACACTATTGGGCCAGAGCAGCACTGTGGTGCAGCCCAAGCAGCCGTTCCATGCCGACGTGAAGGAGGAGTCCGCGAAAGAGTTTCCTTCTCCTCCACGAATACGTGCAGCACATTGTACCCTAGATGAGATAGCTGAATTAGGGTATTTAAACCCATGTAAGGCCTCTGGCCAAGGTTGTCAAACCGGTTTAGAAAGTGAAATGATCTGACCGTGGTACAACCAGTATTCACGCCGGTTGTGCCGGTTTTAATAAAATATATGAGACAAATGGAAATCCTCAATTCCAAATAAATTAGTCGTCAAAAAGCAATTAGAAAAATTATTTCACACAAAATAATTTATAGCTAAGAATTGGTAACTAATACTAAACAATTAGATGCTTAAAAATAAAAGTATATAAAATGAATTTTATTAATGTTTATAATGATTTGTGTAAAATTAAGTATTAGATACATAATATATAAGATTAATACATACAGCAAAGTTGCTTGTAGCCTACTGGTGCATAAGTGAGACTAAAATAAACATGAGGTACTTGGTTCAAATCCTAAGGAAGGTGTTTATTTTTGAATAAAATATGTGTAACATTGAATTCCGGTTTTTGGTCTAACCGGCTGGAATTTCCGGAATTGACTGGATCTGACCGGCATTGACCGGATTTGACCACAGTTAAATACCGGCCTCTTTCCAGCCAGTTTGGTGACCGGTACCGGTTGAACCCGGTTGAACCGGCCGGCATGAAACCGGTTTGACAACCATGCCTCTGGCCAAATCACGTAATAAGATCATCATCTTTCCTTCATGGATGTATGCCTCACAAACCGTGCGGAAGAACCACGTTAAACAAAGTGTCTATTTATTTCTGCTAAATTTTACATGGTATCAGAGCTCTAAGCTCCAGAGTCTTCTCGTCGATTGCTAGCCATGACTACCGGCGACGACGACGGCAAAAACAAAGGAGTGTCTACCAGCTCCGCCGATGATGCTCTTCCATCGGTCCTTCAGCCGCACAACTCCGATAGTCCGGGCAACATGCTCTTTGGTGAGATTCTTACGGCATCTAATTACGGGGAGTGATCCCTTGATATGAAGGATGCTCTCATTGCCAATGACAAATATGGGTTCGTTGATGGAAATATTCTGAAGCCGACGGAACCTAGGGCACAGGCAGCATGGGTGCGCTGCGATGCAAAGGTCAAAGGTTGGTTAAAGACGTTGATGGACAAGGAGATTCAAAGCAACATCCGTTTTGCAGAGCACGCGTCGGAGATATGGACGGATCTGCGCGCGCGTTTTGGTCAAGGGAGTGCTTCCCGCGCCTACGAGCTCAGGCGCCTCATTAGTCTACTTTAGCAAGAAAAACACACTGTATCAGCTTTCTACACCAGCTTGCGTTCGTTTTGGGAGGAAGCGGCGGCTATCACTCCACCGCCGGCATGTACTTGCGGCTTGTGTACCTGCAATGTCTCACGCAAAGCTCGTGCTCAACAGTCAACAGGAGAGTTCTCGTTTATTTGATTTTCTCATGGGGCTCGATGATGCGTTTGGAGCTGTTCGCACCCAGATTTTGGCTATGAAGCCCACTCCAACTCTTGCCGAAGCTTTTCACATATTGCTGAATGAAGAACAACAGAAAAACATAACTCAAAATCGGAAGACACCACCCGAAGCTGCTGTCTTTGTAGCAAAAGGTGAAGCCGATCGCCCTTCTCGTGGGAATG